CACAAAGAGACAAAAGAATGATTTGCCATTTATTATTTTGTATTAGTATGTTTTTTTTTCAGATAATATGTTTTAGGCATTTTGCATGCAAAGTAACTCGACTGTCCAAATAACTGTGATTTTCTTTTCAAAATTGAGTTTATGAATGAAAAAGTGATTTTGTACAAAATTGTATAAACAATAAATAAAATCTTCATCAGAACCGTGCGAGAAGATATTAGTATTACCAACCAAAAAACATTCAATTTAGTACATCTGCCAAAAAGCACGAAAATGCTTGAAGTTCTTTCCTTGAAAAATTTTTTGTATGGGATGTGTAATCGATTCCGATTGACTTCAAATTCTCAGATTCTTATTTTTTCGCCATGAATCTTAGAAAGTTTAAAGCCATTCGGAATCGATTTACAAGTACCTCCCATACGAAATTGTCGAAATTTTGACTAAAATGACCGATTTTCACTGAAAATATGCTTTTTTATGCAAAATATGAAAAAAAAAGTACGAACAACTGTACGGAAAAGTACGGGATCGCGAATGTAATTCTCTTTATATTTTCACAAAACAAGAAATTGTTTGATCTTTAGTCGATCTGTATTTTCCAGGTGGCGAATAGCTGAATAATCGGATGATTTCCTTCGATTCCCGTTTTCGATTGTCCTGTAGAAGAATTATTCCAATACATTTTTTGTCAATCTTTGACCATATCAATTTGTGTGGTCAACAATATTAGTACATAGAAGATATCATTTTGCTGCATTTGTGCAACCTTAACTGTTTGTATGTCATAGGTAGGTATCATTAGAAAAATAAACTTTCCTCAACCAGTGTCAATCACAATTACAACGTAGTTTCAACGCATACTTACTCTCTGAAAAATACCAGACTTTTTTATTTACCCACTGTCACCATCAATGTAGAATACTACAGCCCATTATTACGCTTGCATCGTCATAGTATCCTTGAACCCAAAACATATGTTATTTTTTGGGCCCTGAAGAAGAGTCGCAGATGACTTGAAATGTCTGCATTTATTTCAAATAAATTATCGATTAGAACAAAGACCGAATTGGCTTTCATTTCAAAATAAATTCTTTTCTTAATATTCTTGATTTAATGAGATAAAATGAAATTTTAGCGATAATATGGAAAACGCACACCACGGAGGACTTTCAAGCTCTTGACCAGAATAAACGCCATCCAACGATGGCATTATAATAAGTTTGACCGTATTTAGATAGTAAAGCTTAAACGAAAATTCAATGCTAGGTAAAAACTTCTTGAAAAGTGCTTGATAAACTTAATAAAAGGAATAAATTTTTCGATCTTTGACACAAACGGAACAAGTTTTTTCTCTCAGTATTAGTGATATTTTTCTCGAATCTGTGCCATAGATTTTTTACCACTACGAAGAATTTATTTCATGGAAACAAAAAGTTGGCTGTGTTGGTACGAAATGCGACAGTGACAGAATTTTTTACTTTTTTATGTGATTTGTATTGGATCGTAAGTAGTATTTCTTTACGTGTGTGTTCATTGGAATTTCAAACTAATTGAGGAGCTGTCTATATTTCTATGGAAAGTGTTACTGAGTATGGATATGATTTTGCATGAGATTCGCTTGTAATTTTTAAGGGAATACGTAGATTTGTATCAATATCATCGTATCCTACCTATAACTTATTGAGTGATGTAAAGTAAATGTGATACCGTATATCCTTGCAATGCTTGCATCAACTAACACTGTAGCTATTGAACAAAGCAACGCAACCATGGCATGTGAGCCTGAATGTAACGCAAAGGAATGAGTCATGTCGTTTGATCATTCACATTCTAATTTACATCATGTAAGCGACGGTTGATTTGTGGTTATTTTTTAACTTTGAATTTACTTTGAAACGGAATGTTTTTTGTGCATACAGCGAAGATGTGAATATTTTTAAATTTGAACAGCCATGTGCCGTAGTAACACCACTCAACCCTTCGAGAGTGAAAAATATTTACTTTTTAAATTTTTACATATTTCAAGAAGGTGATGAAAGAATAAATGTAAACATCTGATATTTTCAATGCAAAACATTTGATGTGAAACGCGAAATTAAACACACATGCACAGGTGGAATTGTAATTCCATCAATTGTTTTGACATTGTTATCTTGAAAAATGTGTGCGATAATATTTTGTGGACTTTTATTAGAATCGTCATTGTACGTGGATTGAATCATACAGTGTGTTGCCCACCGACGTGGCCACACTTGAAAAGTATATAAGAGGATACGTTCGATTCGCATGTCCATCAAACAGTTCTTTCCAATTGATACGTTCATAGTAAACTTTTAATAGTTCGAAGCTAGAAAAATGCTGAGTCGAAGTTCTTTCACACTGCTGCTCATTGGCTTGATGGTATCCGAGGTGAGTCGACAGTTTCAGTCGATTTTTTTTTAAATTTTTCATCTTTCATACTTTTCGTGGACAATTTGTGATAAATTTCTCTGAAATAATTTAAAAAAATGAAAAGTGTCCTTTTTCAAGTTCTTGAATTGAAAAAATTCTTCTATTCCAAAAAAATGTCCACCAGCCCTAATGACTTCGAAGTGGCGCTCTGCGGCCTCCGACCGTGACCACCACTATTCACTAAACATACAATTCTTCAAAAATACTGTTGTCTAAATTGAACACATTTCTACTAAATATTTGCCTTGATGCCGAGTCCAAAAACGATTGCTTCACTTTGTTAAAATTTCTACACGCTACAATAAATGGCTGATTACGAGCATAGTCCGTGCCATAAGTTTCAATTCTAACTAAATCCCTATTTCTTATATTTCTTTGGTTTCTGTTATCTAATCGTCTCGTATATACAATTCTTTCTCTGAGCACCGTACAAATCAACTTTCCTAGGAGGAGATCATAAATTAACAATACTGAGGCATTTATACGCCGCCTCCAAAGCGGTTGAATATTCAAATTATCACATCTAAATTGATACGATGGCAACCTATAATTAACATCTCTTTGGTAGATTCCTCTAAATGCCCAAATTAAAAAGTTTTTCTGAACTGATTCAACCTTGTCAATATATGACCGGTGGTATGGATGCCACACTACACTAGCATACTCTATCTTCGATCGAACCAATGCATAATATAACATTTTTGCTGATTCTATAGTGAACTTGTTTTTCAGTGTTCGCTTAATAAAACCTAATGCCCCGTGTGCGCTAGCTACTGTCGTATCAATGTGGTTGGCAAATGTGAGTTTTACGTCAAAAATGACACCCAAGTCTCGGTGTAGCTCAATTCTGTCAAATTTGTGCTGACCATTGCTTATCGTGTATTCATGTTTTTGTACGGTGATGTTCTTCGCATACGTCATGACGAAACATTTCCTCAGATTCAAGTAGAGCTTGTTGCAATTGGTCAATGGCCATCTGGAATAAGCGGGCATCGTTCGGTGACGTGATTCTCAGAATGAGTTTTAAATCATCTGCGAACAGTAAAACAAGTGCATAAGTTAATGTATCACTTTGATTCTATTTCCACAGTTCTTAATCGGGGATGTAAGCGGAGATAATGGAGATACAGCTCTGCATAGAGCTGCTTTTGCTGGTAATTTTGGACATCTTTAAAAAAAAGAATGTTTTGTTCAATTCGTTTCATTGATCTATGAATATTTTTCATATTCAGGCAAAAGGAAGGAAGTTCGAAAACTCATCGATGAAGGAGCCGACCCAAATATTAGAAATAATTTTAATGAGACACCTCTGCATCATGCTGCTAAGAACGGTTACGTTGAATACTTATTGTTATTGAATAAAAGATTGACCTGATTTTATCCCATCGATCGGTGTTATTGTTCAGGTCACAAGAGTGTCGCCGAACTTCTCCTCAACAATGGCGCCATTCTTGAGAGTGAAAATATTAGGAAAAACACACCTCTTCATCATGCTGCTCAGATGGGTAATGTTGAATAGTTATTTTCACAAAATAGAGAATCGGTTTGATCTTTTTCATCGAACTAAATTATTTCTAAGGTCACCAGAGTGTCGCCGAGTTTCTCCTCAACAAAGGCGCCAATGTGGATGCCGTGACTGATTTTAATAATACACCTCTTCATTATGCTGCTATGAATGGTAAAGTTGAATACTTGTTTTCATTAAATAAAAGATTGATTTGATCTTTTCCATCGATCTGAATTATTTTTCAGGTCACAAAAATGTCGCCGAGGTTCTCCTCAATAAAGGCGCCAGTATAGATATCACGAATCATTTTAGTAATACACCTCTTCATAATGCTGCTATGAATGGTAATGTTGAATACTTGTTTTCATTAAATGAAAGATTGATTTGATCTTTTTCATCGATCTAAATTATTTCTAAGGTCAAAAGAATGTTGCTAAACTTCTCATCGAAAAAGGAGCCGAAGTTTATTTTGTAAATAATGAGAATCAAACACCTCGTCAGTTAGCTGTTAACAATGGTACTGCTGACTAAATTAAATACCGCTTTGATCTTTTTCATTGATCTGTATTATTATTTTTCAGGTCACCGTGATACCGCTAGACTTTTCGGTTAAAGAAACCAAATTAATATTGAAGAACTATTGGAACACCACGATAGTCTCGATCACTAAACGTCAAACCAAAAACGCCACACATTTTGACGGCAACGTTTAGAACTACATTGATGGTTGTATTCAATGCAGTGTCAAAAATAGTCGTCATTGTGTTGTGTGGTGAAATAATAATAACATTTGAATTTTAAATAAATAAAAATGTTTCGATTCTACCAAATAAAATTATACAAAAACCACAAGACAAAAAAATTGCGTTTCTTTCGGTTGCACCCGTATTTAAAAAAATTGTTTTTCTTCCATTTTCAATTGAGTTGAATGAGGAAAAATTACGGTTTTATATGATATATTGGAGTTTATATCAGTGATTGCGATATCGCTCTCAGTATCTCATAGGATAACTGAACGAGATAATTCAGCTGGCTGAGATGACGCAGCGACGCATCACCCGAGTCTGTGCGATACACATACACACAATGCGCCCAGCGGTATCCTTATACACTCAGTCCCATTTAGTGACGCGCGGCATCGAATTGTGTGTGTGTGTGTGTGTGAATCACAAAGACTCGGGCGATAGACTTGGGTGATGCGTCGCTGCGTCATCTCAGCCAGCTGAATTATCTCATTCAGTTATCCTATGAGATGCTGAGAGGGATATCGCAATCACTGGTTTATATAATTAAAAAGAAAACTGGTTCGTGGCAGAATTGTTTTTTTTTTTTAATTTTGCGGACCATACTGAGAAAACGCTTGCGTTCGAACAGAAAACTACACTGAAACAGAAGTCGATTTGACATTAGCTGTCAAACCGGCAAGATGAACAAGTGCGTTTGCAAAGTGAGCGCGTTCACTCCGTGTCAGCAGGTTTTGGACGAATTTCATTTTTCAAATGATGTTGTTGTTAGTGTAATGATACCCCCGCGTATTGGAATAGATTCAATATGCTGCCAACAATGTTAATGTTGAATATTTTACTTTTCCGTACACTTTGTTAAGGGAATTGAAATGGAAAGATTTTTTCAATCTACCATTAAATTTTAAATAAAACACCTCAAAATGACTTTGCTTTTTCAAATTTCAAACATAAATCAATATGAATATTTATTTATAAACAAAATTTTGGTTCGGATGCATTTCGACATTTGTCATCCTAAGCGAGTATCAAATTACACTGAACTCAGGTCTCTGTTTGCGATTGTGAGTGAGAGAAAAAAGAAGAAAAGTATACACAGAAAGCAAAAAAATGTAACAATGTGTTGTGGTGCGAGCGCATGCCAAAAAATTAGAACAACACAAACAATAAAACTCGGTGTGAACACACACAGACACAACAAGCCTCAAAATGAGACCCATTCGATTTTGATTGGCTTCAAATTTTCTGAGATTTCATTTTTTGGTGAAAAAAATGAAATTCTGAAAGTTTCACGTTGATCGCGATACACATTTGCATAAGTTTGGTTTTTGGCCCTCAATTTTTTCTTGAAAGAACATCAGGTATGTTATAGCGAAGAATCTTGCTTTTTGACAGATGTACTAAATTGAATGTTTTCTGTGTCGCCATCTGGTTGGTGATACTAATATCTTCTCGCACTGAAAAAAAAACTTCTCTGAAAAAAAAAACACACTAATACAAAATAATAAATGGCAAATCATTCTTTTGTCTCTTTGTG